AAGCACACATGGAAGATGGCGTCCGACTATCATGTGATGACGTCGGAGGCCGAACCGTCCGGACAGTGTGGGGTGGCGCTTTGGACCAATACGCGCATACCGTTTTCACGTGGACGTAGGCTGGCACGGCATCATGCTCGCGTGTACGACCACTCGTCTCGATACATGTTGGCCGCCATTCGGGCGCCAAGTTTGTGTATCGACGTCTTCGTTCCAAATGCCCCAAATGCACGTACGACGGTGACATAATAGAAGCATGGCGGAAGCAGTTGGAACAGGAGGTGCGGTCAAGTCCTAACCCCGCACCCCTAAACTGCATGCTAGATGCGAACGCAACGCTGGGCTCACGACAGTCAGGATCGGTAAGTGCGGTCGGAGTCGAAACCGAGAACATGACAGGGGGGGGCTTTCACGCTTTTCTGGTACGGGCCGATCAAGCAGCGGTGTCGACCTTTGGCGGGAATGTATGACTGTCGGGATCAACCATATACCCCCTCCCTGAGCTCGAGGTGAGCAAGCAATCGCTCCAGCATCCCCCCGACTTCTCGGGAAACTCCACGAGTTCCACGCGCCTCTAGCTCGTGGGCCCCAACCTTTCCTGCAGCTGGTCCACTGATACAAACCACCTGGGCCGCGACGGGGTCCTCCCCCACCCCGGGTGCCCGCAGCCGACGGTCCGCGTGAGTGACCAGCCGCAGCCCTTTCTACCACGGCGGGACCTCGGCCTCAGTCTGCTTGCCGCCGCTGGCCGCCCCAGGGTAGAGCGGGACGACGGTCCAGCATGTCTTGCAGTGGTGCCCGTTCGCTTTGAACTTTCAGTCGTGGGCCTAGTTGCTGCAGTGGGGCCGCTGTGAACAACTGCCCTGGTTATGCTTCTTCCCCTGCCATCCCACTGCACCACGCCGATGGTAACAAAAGTGGAGGGGCAGGGACGCTGGATATCGCCGCGTCTCAGCCGTCTCCATGCGTTGGAGCAGCCAACTAATAGTCTTGAGCAAAGATGGCGACGGCTGATGTGAAGTAGAAGAGGAAAAAGGCGGAGGAAGGAGGAAGCAAGGAGGGATGAAAAGTGGGGGATGACGTGAGGGAGGAAGGGAGGGACAAGAGGGGGATGGGGGGGAGGCAGGGAGAAGCCCTAACATCCGCCCATGTGATTTTTCAATCCGCAGCCCAGGAGGACCCGACAATTTCGCCAAGGGTGTTTTGGCTTGTCCTGGGTCCACGTATTTCTCCGGGGCCCGACAACGGGCCTCTGAGGCCGAAATCGATGAGAAACGCTGGGATTCAAAACAACAACTCGCGGGAGCGCGCCAGGGAAGGCGCCAGAGGCGCCGCCAGGGGGGCTCAACAAAACCCGAGCGGAGTTCCGAAAGTTCATGTTTATGCAATTGCTCCTTCTTCGAAGGAGGGAGGCCCTTTCACCGGCCACCACGGGGCGACGACCCCAGCAGATTCGGAAACGGCGCAGCGGCGGCGGCGCCGGCAAAAGCCTTGCTGCACCGTCCTGGGCGCTGCCGGCGTCGGCCCGGCCCTCCTGCCTCCTCCCTCCTTTCCACTCCTCCTCATCCTCCTTTTCCTTCTCCTTCTCCTCCTCCTCCTCCTCATCATCATCATCATCATCATCAAGTCCTTTTCCTTATAGATATCTTTTCCTGTCGCACCCCGAGGCCAGTTTTTAGGGCGGGCCGGGCGCTTCGCCTGAGAATTCCTTCTCATTTCGGATCCTGAAGCTTAGAAATTAGCAACGGCTTCACAGATGGAGGGCGGGTCGTTTTCAACATGTGGATCTCGCCTTAGCGCCGCGCGCATCCGTTTTCAAAATTGTAAGACTTCACGGATTGAGGGCGCCCCGTTTTCAAAATGTGGCTCTCGCCTGAGCGCCACGCACACTCGTGTTAAACACTTTCCAGAGCTTCACGGGTTGAGGGCGACCCGTTTTCAAAATGTGGCTCTCGCCTTGGCGCCACGCACACTCGACTTGAACATTTGCAAGAGCTTCACGGATTGAGGGCGGTTCCTTTTCAAAATTTGGATGTTGTTTTGGAGCCGCGCACATTCGGTTTCCAAAATTTGCAAGAGTTCCACGGATTCCCACGATCAACCTACCAGAAATGGCGTTGTGGAAGGATTCAGGATTATGAGGGTGCAGCAAGTACATTGGTTCGCGGCGTTGAAATCCCAAGAATGGCGTTCTGGCACGATTCCGGATTGTCAAGACGCAGCGAGCAGGTTGATCCGTGGCGTTGGACTCCCGAGAACAATGTGTTAACATGCTTCGGTGTCTTCACACGGTTCTTCCAACGAGGCAGTTCCCTCTGTGGAACTGAACCGTTGTATGGGGCCTATGAAGAAGGAGCTTGGAGGGAGGATGTAATCCAACACCGTCTATTTAAATTGGTCCTCATCTTCCTCCTCCTTTTCATCATCATCATCATCAGCATCATCACCATCATCATCATCATCACCATCATCATCTCACCACCACCACCACCATAATCCTCACCACCATTATCATCATCAGCCGCAGCATCATCCTCATTATCTTCCTCCTCCTCCTCCTCCTCCTCCTCATCCTCAATCATCCTCATCCTCCTCCTCCTCACCCTCCTCCTCCTCCTCCTTGGCACCATCATCACCATCAGCATCGTAATTATCATCCGCATCATCGTCACCATCACCATCACCATCATTTTCACTATCATCCTCATCCTCATCCTCATCCTCATCAATAGCATCAACATCGTCATCACCATCATTATAATCATCACCAGTATCACCATCATCACCATCAGCATCAGCATCATCATCACCATCAGCATCATCATCATCATCATCAACACCATCAGCAGCATCAACATCAGCATCAGCATCAACAACACCAGCATCATCACCGTATCCACCATAAAAATCACCATCTCATCATCATCATTCTCATCATCCCGCCACCACCACCATAATCCTCACCACCACTATCATCATCAGCAGCAGCATCATCCTCAGTCTCCTCCTCCTCCTCCTCCTCATCATCATCCTCATCCTCTTCATCCTCCCCCCCTTCTCCTCCTAAGCATCGTAATTCTCCTCATCATCCTAATCATCATCCTCATCCTCCTCATCCTCCCCATCCTCCGCATCATCATCATAATCATCATCACCACCATTACCATCACCATCACCATCACCATCATCATCATCATCACCATCATCAGCATCATCATCATTATCATCAGCAGCATCATCATCAACAACATCATAAACATAATCATCAGCAGCGGCATCATCATCACAAAAACCCTCATCATCAGCATCAGCAGCATCAGCATCACATCATCATCAGCATCATCATCAGCATCGTCATCATCATCGTCATCATCATTAGCATCACCACCCAAACCATCATCTTCATCATCATAATCATTATCATCATCATTGTCATCATCGTCATCATCGCCATCATCATCATCATCATCATCATCACCATCACGATCACCATCACCATTACCATCACCATCACCATCACCATCACCATCACCATCATCCTCATCCTCATCCTCATCCTCATCCTCATCCTCATCCTCATCCTCATCATCATCATCATCATCATCATCATCATCATCATCATCATCATCATCATTTTCATCATTTTCATCATTTTCATCATTTTCGTCATTCTCATCATTATCACCATCATCATCATCATCATCATCATCATCATCATCATCATCATCATCGTCACTCCCGCCCGACCGCCCGCCCACCCTCCCTCCCTCCCTCCTACCTCTTCCTTCGCTCCCTTCTCCTCACTCACCCTGCTCCGCTGTAGTGGAACATTGCAGTGCCCCTCTGCCTGGATTGACCAACCCTACCTTGTCCCGACTCGACCCCAGGGCTCCACTCTGGATCGAACCGTGTCGACTGTACAAATCTCGAGCGTGGGCCATGCCCCAAGCCCGTCGAGCCGGACTGGAACAAAGCAAGGGAGGTCTCTCTACCCAGACCAGGGGCCCGGGCTGGGCCGCGCGCTTGAGGCCACGGCCTGCAGCTCAGGCCCGAGGGGCAGAGGACGATGCAAGCCCGGAGGGCGGCCAGGAAGCGTGCGCCCCCACGCCAGAGCCCAAGCGTCACGGCATCGCGGCAGCGAAACAGCCATTATGGCGTGCCTTCAGCACGTGAGGTCGGAGCACGGAAGAGCATGAACCTTCGCCAGAAGCCCAATGGGGATACCCAGAGCGAAGAGCACTCTAAAGAGGAAACATCCGTGCCTTTAGCGCGTGGACGCAAGAGAGATTGCAAGGTTCTTGGAGGACCCAAACCTCAGACGGAGCCAACACTCACTGAGACAAACTCGGACCGGGACGAAGCGGGCATCTCTGGGAAGCAGCGGTTCTGGAGGATGTATCGGGCGCTGCGGCCGGTCCCGAACGCTCTGGGGCGCTCGGTCCCGGTCCTACAGCACGGCTGGTGAAGACCCAGACCCCCGACCAAGTCTGCACAAATCTCTGCGACTGGCCGCGGGCCCCAACTTGCCGGGACCAGGCGCTCCCACGGTCTGCTCGGGAAGCTGTGGAAGCATCGCTGGCCCGCCCGAGAAGCGCAAGTCGTGTCAAGCTCTCAAGCTTCTTGAGGTCTCCCAAAGCTTACTCTCGAAAGTCATCACACAGACTCAGGCTACCCATGATTGCCCATTCGGTCTTCGTCACAGACGGCCCGAGGGGCTTCCAAGATCGCCCCAGGTTGGCCCCCGAATCCCCACGAGGGGCCCCAGAAGGGAAACGCAAACGAGACCCAGAAGCCCTCCCAAGACGAGCTCCGAGACCGCGAAGAGGCCCCCGAGCAGTCCCTGGGAGCCTTTAGAGGCGCCCAAGAGAAGAGGCACTCCAAGGGGCCTCCCAAGACACCGCGAGACTCCTCCGAGCGGCGTATGGTCCACGAACCAGGCACGGTGGCGGGATTGGCAAAAGGCCATCAGACATCGGCCAACGGCGCCTACGCCTCGCTGGTCACGACGGGCCAATCATGTTTTCTGGAATCACCCACTCGGCAAACTGCTCCTCAGTCAGCAGCTGAAGCTTCAATGCCGCCTCCTTGAGAGTTGTGCCGTCCTTGTGGGCCAGCTTTGCCACCTTCGCGGCATTGTCGTAGCCGATGTGAGGATTGAGCGCCGTGACGAGCATCAGGCTCCTGCTCATCAGCTCTCTGATGTTCTCCTCGTTCGCGGTAGCGCCCTCCACGCAACGCTCGCTGAAGCTTGCCGCACCGTCGCCGAGGAGCCTTATGCGGCAACTCATGGGAGCCTCCCATAACATCTTGTTAGCTCTTGCGCAGTGTCGCTAATCGATGCTAAATCGGCGCTATTCGACGCTATCTCTAAAGACGGAACAACGAGGGTACACAAGAATCCCATGCTTTGCTACCGAAAGGGCCGGATGGACTGCAGCAAATTTGCTATCATCACCGGCTTGAACACGTTGAGCTCGAAGTGCCCCTGGAGGCCCCCGGCACTCACGGCGGCGTCATTGCCGATCACCTGCGCGGCCACCATCGTCATCATCTCGCACTGCGTGGGGTTCACCTGGCCTAGCCAGAGCCCGCTCGGATTCGATCGCTGGATGGTCTCTCGGACGGTGTCCTGAAGAATTGTGCAGGCCACGTTCAAAATCGTGTCGACGAGCCCCGCAACGCCCCCAAAAGGCCTGAATGCGGGGCCGGGATGTATCCGCAACCACCGCCTGGGGGATCCATCCTCGGGAACCTCGCCAGCGGTGAAAATGGATCGGAGGTTGGGGGGTGTGAGCGGAAGTGACTCCAACTAGGAAATCGGTTTCGGTTTTGATTCGTGTCGTGCGTGCGGGCGAGGCGAAGCTGCACGAGTTCCTGCAGTTGTAGAGGCCACATGGAGCTCAAAAAATCGCCCGCCCTCCCCCCCACCCTGGCCGGGCGCGGCCCCCGATGGTTGTCCCGCGGGTTATCTTGGTGGTTGTTGATGGTTGTCCCGATGGTTGACCCGATGGTTGTCCCGATGGGTGTCCCGATGGGTAGTCTCGACGGTTGTCCCGATGGTTCTTCCGATGGTTGTCCAGATGGTTGTCCCGATGGTTGTCCCGATGGGTGTCCCGACGTTTGTCCCGACGGTTGTCCCGACGGTTGTCCCGATGGCTGTCCCGATGGTTGTCCCGATGGGTGTCCCGATGGGTGTCCCGAGGGTGGTCTCGACGGTTGTCCCGAAAATGGCTCCGATGGTGTTGTCCCGATAGTGTTGTCCCCATGGTTGTCCCGATGGTTGTCACGATGGGTGCCCCGATGGTTGCCCCGATGGTTGTCCCGATGGTTGTCCCGATGGTTGCCCCGACGGTGGACCCGATGGTGTGCTCGAAGGTGGTTGTCCCGATTGATGTCCCGATGGTTGACCCGATGGTGTGCCCGATGGCTGTCCCGAAGCTTGTCCCGATGGTTGTCCCCAAGGTTGCCCCGAGGGTTGTCCCGATGGTTGTCACGACGGTTGTCCCGATGGTTGTCCCGATGGTTGTCCCGACGGTTGTCCCGATGGTGGTTCCGATGGTGTTGTCTCGATGGTGTTGTCCCGATGGTTGTCCCGACGATTGCCCCGATGGGTGTCCGATGGTGGTTCCGATGGTATTGTCCCGATGGTGTTGTCCCGATGTGTGTTGTCCCGATGTGTGTCCAGATGGGTGTCCCGATGGTGTGCCCGATGGTTGTCCCGATGGTTGTCCCGATGGTTGTCCCGATGGTTGCCCCGACGGTTGTCCCGATGGTTGTCCCGGCGGTTGTCCCGATGGTTGTCTCGATGGTTGACTCGATGATTTTCCCGATGGTTGTCCCGATGGTTGTCCCGACGATTGTCCCGACGGTTGTCCAGCTTTTTTTTGGCCTCAACGCCACACTGCCTCGCTATACAAGCACTGCGGGCAGGGCACAGTGCAGGCACGCCTTGAAAACCAAAACGTCTGAATCGTCGAGCCGCGCTCGACGAGGACCAACGCCGACGGCCCTGGCCCTCAGTCGGAGGAATCGCTGTCAAGGGCCTCCGAACACGAAATGGGTTGCCCTTCCTCCTGTCGACAGGGGACAGCGGCAACTGCGTACAGGGCATCCCCTGCACGTGAAACCCTCGGGTGGGCAAGCCTCAGAGACCCGAGCTGCTGCACTGGACCCTGGACCGCAGAGTCCCGTTCGGGAGGGTCCAGGGGGGGCCGAGAAGAGGGCGCCTCCCCACCATCCGCCACAACTCCCGACGACGACGACGACCTGAACGACGACTCGACTCGGGGTGGCAGCGTGGGGTCTGCAGGAGAGCCGAACAGAAATGCCGCGGCCTCTGCTTCAGCTTCGAGCTCGAACCTCTCGTGCTTCGTCTGAGCAGGCTGCAAAGGCGCCACGACCGATGCACCACAACCACTCGACGCGCCCTGAGGGGGAGCTCTGAAGCGTGACTGCACTCCCTCAACTCGGACTGAAGACTGGGGAGTCGACTCCCCCCCCTCCGCCGCGCCGAGACTGGGCGGCATGTCCGAACCAAAAAGGCCGACCACAGCGTGCGCGTCGACGACAGTAGCACTTCTGAGCCTGTTGGGGTGACGACCTCTGGCACACAGCGCTTTCCAGGCATAACCTCCGTCACGCGAAGCTTTGCCTGGGCATAATTTGCCAAGGCCCACCGCTCTACCACCAGTGCTGTATAGCTTACAACGAATGCAAATGAACAGGTGTGATCCGTCTGAGCAGGGCAGCGCCAGGACGCGGTGACCGTAGGACACCAGCGCCCCCTCATCGAGCTTGCTCATGCCAGGACATTCGCTCCCCGCAGGGACCGCGCCTCTACATCCTAGCAAGCAGACTCGACAACGCCAGATCCCAGACCAGACGGCCCAGCCGTGAGGCTTAACAACTGCCAAAAAAGGAGGCTCACTCACACTAAAATCCCTCGCTGGGGCCCCCGGGAGGTCCAAACGGGGCCACTCAAGCAGCGCGCGAGCGGCCAGCTTGCACACCGTTTTGGCAACCTTGATCTACCACTCAAACCTCACCACGAGGTCCGAGTCGACAGGATGAAAGGACAGCGCGTGCTTGGCGGCAGCGTCGGCGCCATTATTACACCTACGCCAAAAGGATTCCTGGGGACTAAGACCAGCCCCGTCCAGATCCTCATGGGCCTTAACTTTGATGGTTTCTCCTATGAGACGACCCTCCCGAGCATTCGCCTCAAGGAGGATCCCGCTGTACACATGCTTACCAGAACGCCTGGCCGCGAGCGGGAGATTCGACAACTTAACGACGTTGAGGCAGTCACTATACACAGTGGATTCATGTCTGACGAGCGTGCCTGCAATCCCTCGAGCGAGCCACTCGCCCGCTTGAGGGGTCTGCGGGTAGCGGCCCCGCACAGGACACCCACAGCGCCGAGCAACTCACCAGCACTGTCATGCACAGTGATCGCCCAAGACGCCCTAGAGAGCTCTCTGATGATGTGCCTGTGACACGAACCATCCAAGAATAAGTGGCCCCAAATAGCTCCATCTCGAGCCTCCTCAGACCCCTCGGGCCCGTCCAGCATGTCCCTAAACCACTTGAACTGAACCTGACCGCCAACACAAGGCCTCGGGGGGACATCGGCGGGGTGGGCAAAAGCCGCATGACAGAATAAGTTGTCCGAGTAGTCCGCAGCCTCAGTGTTCGAAGCTGAGGCGCTGACATCGGCGTCTGCTACCTCAGCTCGCACCTCCGCACAGTGAGGACAGACCCACAGCCTGTGGTGGAGGCTGTCACGTTCCCCACAAAAAACACACCACTCACAGATCTCATAGCCACAACGTATCGCTCGATCAGGGGTCCAGATCGCATTGCGCGCGAGAGCTCTGATCAAACCTTTGTCTCTAGACGAGAATTGGCTCGACGCAAGAGCGGCCCTGGGGGCGCCAAGGCAGAGGCGACCCCCATCCGCCCATTTCTCCCCAAGATCTCTCTCCAAGGAACGGAGCAGAGCCTCGCGGCAGTGGATGGCCAATAAGGCAGGGGAAGTAACACCTAACTCGATGGGTCTACCCTTGTCATCAATGATGGTCATCGCATTAGTCATGTGCCAGCGCAGCCTGAGCAATGTCAAGCGCGTGGCACTGAGAGGACCAGCCACAGTGCCCCACGTGACTTTCGGCCTGGCCCAAACAGCAGCCCACGCCTCGCGAAGCTCCCGCAGCGACAGCGCCCCTGGGAAAATATTGGCCTGTGACGACCACACCTCCTTACCCCATCTCAAAATGGGCGCCGTCGCCGCTCTCCAAGTGGGGTCGGAGGCCAGGACGCAGCAGGCCGTGAGGCTACGGCCAGAAGCGAAAGGTCTCACTTGAGAAAAGGCAGCCCTCCGCATGCACAACAGATCGTTGTCACTGACCCCCGCAACTTCGCAACCGCACGCGCCAGAAGCTAAGGGGCCAGTGGCGAAGATTGTGAGACTCCTCCTGCCGAGGGTACCCGAGAGCTTTTTGAATCGCTTAGACTTCCTCAGCATCGCGGCCACACGCGCCTTGATTTTGCTCCCTCGCCCCTGCTTGCCACGCATAGACTTGCCCGCGGAAAAATCGATCCCCAAAGTAGGAGTCGACTCAACCACGCGCCCCCCCCCAGGGACCCAAGACGCTGAGACGCAGCCGTTCCAACTCCCACATCAGAAGCAACCGCGCACACCTTATCAAGAACAAGGCTGCAGCCAAGCATGCGAATGATAGCATCACGAAGCGCAGAGGACGCCCTCACGATGCTGCGGACGACCGACGACTTAGCCCCATAGGCCGAGACCCCACTGTCGTCGATGTAAATGTCGAGCTCCGACGAAGGCGAGACGGGAATAGTGTCGAAGGCGTCCATGCCAAACGCACGAATGAAGGTGGTGGCGAAACTGCACCCCGCCACCACCCCAAACTCAACATGGTAGGGACCATTGAGCAGCCCACCGAACGACAGAAAACGCCCAGTACGAAACGCGAAGATGCACACCCGCGCGATGGCACGCGGGGGCTGGTGCTTCCTACACCTGGCCTCCAAAACTCTCAAATCGATAGTCTCATAGTACTTGAGCATGTCATAGAAGACCGAACAAGAACACTCTTTGCTCGCCGTGCAGCACTCCGCTCTAGCCGATTGACGCCACACCACATCCGCAGCTCCCCTGTGCTCTCCAGCGGCCCAGTACCGACGGGGGTGTTGCTGTTCCCAAGCCAGGGCGTGAGGTCGGCGACACCGACCCCAGACCCTGTACCAGGAACAGAACACCCCAATCGGCCTGTAGCCGCCAGAGGGTTTGGGGAGCAGCGCAAGCAGCACAGCCGAAATCTGCTCAGGAAGCTGGCCGACACACTCCATGACTTCAAAAAGGGCGGCCAGACATTCGAGAGCGTCGTCGCACAGAAACTGAAAAGTGCCTGCGACTGAACCCGTCGAAAGAGACCGCCGTGTTTTCTTGTATTTCCGAGAGACACTACGAATATCGTCAGCGCTGAGGCGAGGAAGAGGGTCGACCAGCTCTGGCCTGCCACGAATCGATCCAGCTCCAGCGCCCCA